ACTTAATATTTTTTCTTGAAGACACTGTTATGAATGTACACGTTAATACATGCTCAATCATTCGATCGAAATTTGAATAAGTCGCGGATATATCACAAAACGTTTGGTTAATTAATTTTATAATTAAAATATACATAGACGGTACATAATCAATCTTTCTATGTCGATACCTGCACAACGCGTAAATGGATTATTCCGCATGCAATTAATAAATACACCTTGCATTACTCAATTTAACGTGCGTGAATATTTAGCACTAAATAGACGGGAAATTGATGTATAAAGTTATGCCACTGTTTATAGTGACGAATTGATAGTTCTCGTACAAGTATATAAATGTGTATAGTTGCAATGAAACATTTTGTATCACGATTAATGTAGAAAATAACTTAAACAATCATTGAGAGATATATATATATATATATATATATACATATATATATTTATATTTATATTTATCAATCCACGATGAAGATGACGTGGATTGAGATATATATATATATTTTTTTAAGAAATAATTTCTCAATTATTGTTTAAGTATTTTCTGTGTATTAAAATGTTATTTATTATTGAACACAATATAAAATGTTATTTATTATTGATATTGTATATATGTATATATATATTTGCATATATATATGCAAATGGATTATTAAAAAACTTATGCAGATTACAAAATGTATATATATATATATATAATGCCTTTTCTTTGCTATTTTTCTACTTTGGGCATTGTAGCTGAATTAAGCCGATCGATATCAAGGTTGTCCACTCGGTACAAGTCACAAGGTCGGAAAAAGCACTTCGCTCGCAGTAAATCAATTTGATATATATACGCTGGACACGCCCGGATACCGTTGGAACACTGCAACAGCAGATGAATCTTGATGTTGTTGTCAGATATTCGCAACTTGTCCGCATAGTAATTTAAATCTAAACAGCGAGATTCTAAGATAATGTTTTAATTGAAATATCCCAATCTTTGAAAGAAACTCAAAGAACACATTTTTACTTAGATATTTTTAATCAGTATTATTTATCGCATCTCTTATTCCGCTATCTTTCGCTTTTTTTTTGCGTAATTTGAAAAACTTATTTTCTCAGAATTTCTTAATATTTTCAATGAGTAAAAACTACTCAAAGTTTTTATATTGGCATTACATTTTCTGAACAGCCCGGTAGATTCTACATCATTCATTATTCATAATTACAGTTAGTTTATAATTATGTAGAGTTAAAGAAAAATCGTGTTGAAAAAAATATAAAACTTCTTGTGGATTATAATAATAGCACGTGTAAAAACCTGTTGATTCAATGACGCATATCGCAATTTTTTACGTGCAACAAGTAACATCTTTGCTCTTTTTATGCGATTTTATTTTTGATTCACTGTTTTGATGTAAGTTACACAAAAATATACTTAATTTTTTTCCTTATGAATAAATGAAACTTGTAGCACTTAATTCAATGCGTTGATGAAAATATCTAAGAATACTTGTGTTTTAAAATGGAAGTGAAGATAGCAAGTAGACTATTTAATGATAAAGGATTCGAAAAGGTTTACTATTCCTCCAGGTCGACAAAGAAATCGCGACTTTTCAAGATAATACCATTAACCAAGAAGACTTAGGTACTTTGTGAAAGGACTCTCTTGCTTCCGACAGCAATTTAACCCTTTTTGAAATGCATGTGAATTCTGAAGCGTGGCGCGAGGGGGTAAGCCGAAGCCGATTATCAGGTGGTGTGAAAAAAGAGGTAGATTGAAGACGCCCTTCAATGTACGATTTTTATCTCTCAATATAACCGTGCATCTTTAGAATTCCAAGGACATATGCGCGCAGATAGGAAATCTTTTCAGCACACTTCGTCTTTCTTCCCGCTATTCGAACGATAAATTTTTTGTCGGTAGCGGGAAAGAAAATTAACGTTGCTCGTTTTACATAGATAATGGGACGCTCTGTCCCATTACTTTTAAATCAAAACGTAAATTATTCTAATTATAGAATTAACGTTTTGCACATCAGCAGATAATTTTGTATAATATTATATTACGTTAAATTTATGGTATTTTATTCGACTATCTGGGACCTGGGTGAGCAAGTAAATATTGAAAAATATTATAAATTTTTAATTATCTGTAATTAAATTTTAATCAAATTGTATTGTATAGCAGACGCGCAAAATATAAACATATGTATATATAATGAATGAGATTGCTACACTTGTGTGATTTACGTTAATTAATAGTAAACAGGATTTTCCTTTTCGATAATTAATTAGTTGTAAACTGCGTTAACAAGTTGCTATCGTATAAATATCAACGCATGGATGCTAGCTGCAAAAAGCACATATTTCCCGAAGACAGATTAAATAATGGCCATCTGATAGCGACGGTATTAAATCTGGTTTACACTATTGAATGGTCGAGTTAACTTCAACCGTTAATTCAAAATGCAAATTAAAGTGACCTTTCTATTGTTCCGACTTTCATGTAAAATGTATGACAAGTTTTGCAAGAAACAACGAATGCTCCTAGCGAATTTTAGATAATCGAATAATTCATCGGGCACGTTTTCTCATTTACATATCGCATAAATGTCGTTATATAATTATAATTACACACGCATAAATAACTTGAAATAGATAACGAGAGAAAAGGGATGATGACAGGAATTAATCAAATGTATCGACTAAACGTGCGTGCCTCATACCGCACGTATCAACAATTTATAATATTAGTTTTAGGAATTGCTATAGGATATTTTTGTACAGCGCGCATATCTAAACGAATGAGATTAGTTATACAAATATGTTATTTTCTTGATTCGTTATCGACGCGTAACCGAAAGAATCTCATTATCGAAAGAGTATGGCGTTTTCAAGAACGGTAAAAGAGATATAAACTGTGATGAATAAGAAAGAAAGAGTTCCCTTCGCAGTAGGAACATAAACGTAGAGGTTCGTCGCACAATCTTGCGTCTCGAGAGTTTCGATTACGAGATTACTGAACTACTCACGAGTTTATGTCACAAGAGAAGAGATTTTAGCTAATGAAATCGAACTAAATCCGTCATGAAGTAAAGAGAATTTTCATTAAACAGTAATTGCCTCGGAACGACAACTGCACGCAAAACCATTAATGCATTATGCATAATGTCCCCGGAGTTCTTATTACTCTATCGTGCATCAGACACCTGCCGAACTTTTTGAAACTCATAAAAAGCCGCGAAAGTAACACGGGAGCTATCTCGCACATGTCTTGCTAATTAATTTATTCAATAACTTTATGTCTGTCTCATTCACACCAAACTTTCCGTCGCAAAAATGGAATTAGAATATTGGAGTAACAAATGCACGTGATGTTACATACATTGAAATACATGATACATTTTTGTCCTTCGGGTTTTTACTGCTTAAAACCGGCCTCTGATTAATAATTGTGTTGGGGGTAAATCCCTTACGGACCAATAAGACACAAGATCAAATAGCCCATATGGGACAATGTCCTTCCCTGAGTTTTACAGACCTCATGCCCGTTTAGGTATAACCCAGTTTTACCACGAGCTTTTCAGTAAGAATTATTAATCCAAGAAAGAAAGATAGGAGGAGGGAGAGGGAGGGAGGGAGGGGAAGAGAGAGAAGAAGAGAGAAAACTGACGATCACACATACAAGGGAAAATTTAGGGAATTCTTCGATATTAAATTCCATTGAGAAATTTTTAATGAAATTTTTTTTATTAATTTCCAGACTTTAACATGTAGATATTTTCCCCGTGTAGGGAAAATGGAATTAAAAAATCCTTTCTACGATTGCTTGGCTTATCAAACATGTACATAAATGTAATAATTTGACGAGTGATGTAACAAAGAGCGATCAATTTTTTTAAAATTTACTTTATATTCTTTTACTTATTGCGTCCCGTGATTTATCCGCGGCAAACGCGCGATGCGAAAACCCCTTTGCAGTTTGTAACCAATTTTCTAGTGACATACAAATAGCCTTTGAAAATGTCGAGCGTGTCAACAAAACCAACTTGGACCCAAAATTGGATAAAAGCACGCAAACAAATATGATTTGTAGATACCTCTGTGCTAATCGATGGGTTGCGCGACAAAAGAAAAGCAACTGCGTTACGTGTATTTCATAATTAACTTTTCTTTGAATTGCTTTACGTCGATATCGCCGAGCGTTGGATATTTGTTTGCCAAACGAAATTTAATGAGGGACCAAAAATACTTAAATGCAATTAACGATAAATTTAGAATAATGGAATCAACGGAACGTTTGTAATGTTATTTTCCCGTACCTCCGGTTATGCGCTTTCTTAGTCAGCACAAGTAAAAAGTAGTACGGTTTGTTCTTCGATTTAAAATCCATTCGGAAGCACGGAAACTTTTTCCATACCTAGGAATCAACGCGCACAAGCAATAAATGGAAGACTTCTTCGACGTCGTCGGAGGAAAAGTTGGAGGACTGAAGGACATGTCTAATAATAAGATCAGGAGAGAGAGAGAGAGAGAGAGAGAGAGAGAGAAACAATTCGTAAATCCGAAAATCGGCAAAAACCAATGAGTACATACCCGTTTGCGAATGCGGAGATTCTATTCCACGGTGTCCGTCTTCCGGCCTGAGGACCGATGAAAATGTCGGTGCACTCGAAACCGTGACTGTCGGCGGTTTCTCAGTCTTATCGTTTCTTATTAGTTGATGAACCGGCGGTGGACCTACGCAAGGAAAGAATATGTGGATCGACATGGATCGACTTCCAGGTGACAAAGCGAAGATTTGAGATATTTTATGTCAATCGTAAAACAAAACGCAATCGTATATAGATTAAGGTAATGCTAGCAGGTCGGCCAAATTTGCATGATTGATAAAATAATCTGTTCAATTTCAGTGGTATCT